TGCACTGGAGTGATGCTGGGAGCCCTTCCAGTGGCAAGCACTCGGCTTGTTTTTGCGATACATAGTTCTTTCACTGCACACATATTTAGTAAGAACTCCACTTTGGGTCAGGTATTGTCAAGACCCGGTGGAGTCCATAGGCTGGTAGAAAGACAGCTAAGAAGTGGGCCAGGCGTGGCTGGTGGACCCACTGTGGGGGCACACGAACTTGGTCTTCTTTGATCCAGGGGCTGAGTGAGGTGGCAGGACTGGAGTCTGGGGTTTCTCACACACTTCCCTGGAGGCCCCAGGCTGGAGAAGTGCAGACCATGCCCAGCAGCTGTTCAGCTAGAAAGGAGGAGAAAAGACATGGCAGCCTACCTCACCTGCATTACCATTGAGATTAGAAAGGAACAGTTAATCTGAAGGAAAGGGAGAGATGGGGCCAGGGAAAGCAAGCCGTGCAAACAGAAGTCTGCAGAGGAGGAGAAGAAAGAACACTTAGTTCTGCACCAGCCTCGGAAAAGTGAGAGCCCTCACCCACTGTCTGTCTGAAGTGGCCAGGAGGGAAAGGCTGCACTTCTTTCAATACCCCAGATCCTTTAATAGCATCTTGCTCCCTGAACTTCGGTTTTGCCTACAAATTTCTGCAATCTGGCCTTGGCCCTGGCCCCAGCCATGACTGTTGCCGTTTCTCCCACACTAGCCCTCTGGATCCTGAAGTTAGCACAGTCGTCCCTGGAGTTGTCATCCAGAAGTTAATATACAAGTCAGTTCCTGCACAGACAGTGCTAAAACAGCAGCAACAGAGAACTGTAAAATAATTAAGGAGGGCTTTCAGGGTGGCAGCCCCTGAAAAGGTTCCCATTCCACAGTCTGGCCCCTAAGCTGTGCAGGACAGAAGTTCAATTTGATCTCAGCTATGAGAGGCAACTCATGACAGCCACAACCATAAGAGGTTCCTGTTGGTTGATAAGAGTATCCACTCCTTCCTAGATACTAGGATCATGGGGTGACAGAAAGTTGGTTGATGAAGATGAAATCAGACAAAATGAATCTTGAGGGACTTTTCATCCACCAAGCATGTGGATGCACTGTTCCCAGAGCCCATCTCTTAGGCCCACCGGGCAGACTCGGCCATCCCCCTTCCTTGGTAAACCTTTCCCAGCTCTGATCATACCACTGATTTGGCTCCAGCATCTTTCGCAGTAGACAAGCCTGAATTCAGTTTCAAATCCCTATCCTTCCTTCCTGGTCCTAGGAGACGTCTGACTACAAGGCCTCTGAATATGCTGCTGGAGATCCCCCTTGATGGAGGACACCCTAATACAGGCACCCAGTCCTGCTTACAGAGCCCATGTGGCCCCATGGGTCACCAATTGGTGTCATGCCAGAAAGACCAATTTAAGAAACATACTTTAAAAGAATCATGGACTACAACAGTCTCTTACTGAAAAACAGATTCCAGTATAGTTAGCAGGTGAGCTGTGGCACTGATACACCTGCCTGAAAGTGCTTATTAGATCATTAAAAGGGCAGTGAGTGAGTGAGGCAGTGTTATCCAGCAGAAGAGCGAGAACCAAAAGGATGAGATTGAGTGAATTGCCTCAAGGTGTTTTAGGGATTGACTTAAATTCTCTGAGGCTATCAAATGAGCACAGCCATGTTGGCTTCCAGTGCCTTAGGAGTCAGAGACCACACAAGGAGAGAGCCCTGAATCCAGCTGATTGTCCATACATGAGAGCTGCTGTTGCTGCTGTGAGATTTAAACTTTTCATTTTCTAGACAGCCCACTTTTTTTTTTTTTTGCTATTATTTTCTTTTTTTTTTTTCATTTATTTATTTTATTGCATTTTAGGTTTGGGGGTACATGTGAAGAACATGCAAGGTTGTTGCATAGGTACACACGTGGCAGTGTGATTTGCTGCCTTCCTCCCCATCACCTACATCTGGCATCTCTCCCATTGCTATCTCTCCCCAACTCCCCACCCCCCACCGTCTCTCCCCTATTTCCCCCCAACTGACCCCAGTGTGTAGTGCTCCCCTCCCTGTGTCCATGTGTTCTCATTGTTCAACACCCACTTATGAGTGAGAACATGCGGTGTTTAATCTTCTGCTCTTCTGTCAGTTTGCTGAGAATGATGGTTTCCAGGTTCATCCATGTCCCTACAAAGGACACAAACTCATTGTTTTTGATGGCTGCATAATATTCGATGGTGTATATGTGCCACATTTTCCCTGTCCAGTCTATCATCGATGGGCATTTGGGTTGGTTCCAGGTCTTTGCTATTATAAACAGTGCTGCAGTGAACATTCGTGTGCACGTGTCCTTATAGTAGAACGATTTATAATCCTTTGGATATATACCCAGTAATGGGATTGCTGGGTCAAATGGAATTTCTATTTCTAGGTCCTTGAGGAATCGCCACACTGTCTTCCACAATGGTTGAACTAATTTACACTCCCACCAACAGTGTAAATCCTATTTCTCCACGTCCTCTCCAGCATCTGTTGTCTCCAGATTTTTTAATGATCGCCGTTCTAACTGGCATGAGATGGTATCTCAATGTAGTTTTGATTTGCATTTCTCTGATGATCAGTGATGATGAGCATTTTTTCATATGTTTGTTGGCCTCATGTATGTCTTCTTTTGTAAAGTGTCTGTTTATATCCTTTGCCCACTTTTGAATGGGCTTGTTTGTTTTTTTCTTGTAAATCTGTTTTAGTTATTTGTAAATTCTGGATATCAGCCCTTTGTCAGATGGGTAAACTGCAAAAATTTTTTCCCATTCTGTTGGTTGCCGATTCACTCTAATGACTGTTTCTTTTGCTGTGCAGAAGCTGTGGAGTTTGATTAGGTCCCATTTGTCTATTTTGGCTTTTGTTGTCAATGCTTTTGGTGTTTTGGTCATGAAGTCCTTGCCTACACCTATGTCCTGAATGGTTTTGCCTAGATTTTCTTCTAGGGTTTTTATGGTGTTAGGTCTTACGTTTAAGGCTTTAATCCATCTGGAGTTAATTTTAGTGTAAGGTGTCAGGAAGGGGTCCAGCTTCTGCTTTCTGTGCATGGACAGCCCACTTTTAATGGGACTCTTCCAAACTGTCTTAATTCTTGTTTCCTGGTGGCTGTGACAAGTCCAGCAGTGGCTTTTTAGCTTCTCCAGTCCATTTCTGTTCACAGAAAGCAAGCCATCCAGCATTATATCAATAAAAGTATTTGTTTAGGTTTAAGTTTTCCACATTGACTTGTAGTGGTTGAACTAAATGAATATTTTAAATTCTAAGAAATTGTTTTCTGCAATTAAGAGACTAGTGGGAGTTTAAAAAGCTTGGCACAGTGGCTCACACGGACAATGTCTCAGCACTATGGGAGGCTGAGGCGGGAGGATCACTTGAGGCAAAGAGTTCAGGACTAGCCTGGCCAGCAGAGCAAAACCCCATCACAACAGAAATAAAAGATAAAGATAAATTAGCCAGGTGTGGTGGCGTATGCCTGCAGTCCTAGCTAAGCTACCCAAGAGGCTGAGGCAGGAGGATTGCTTAGGCCCAGGAATTCGAGGCAACAGTAAGCTATGATTATGCCACTATACTCTAGCCTGGGTGACAGAGCAAGACCTCATCTCCAAAAAAAAATTAAAAATTAAAATATATATATATAATTCTGCAGTTTAAAATTTGGGACACATGTCCTGTAGAAATAATGTTATTCTAGTGGCCAGTGGCCCAGACTACCCACTGGTTTAAGGCTTGAACTCTACAATAGGGCTTTAGTGCATATGAATCACCCAGGATCTCATTAAAATGCTGAAACAAATTGGGGGCGGGGGGCAAAAGGGACTGACAGTTGATATTTCTAACAGCTCCTGGTGGTGCCCATGCCGCCCATCGTGGATACAGTTTGTGTAGCAAGGATGGGGTGGGAGAAACTGGCATTACTTAGGGATGAGAACAGTGGGTGAGGCATTGGCCTAGATGGGGCAGAGGGAGCGGGGCTTCTAGTGAGGCCAAGGAACAGGACTGCAAGGATTGGAGGAAGTGGGCAGAGGGCTCCTGGCTGGCGTGACTCCCAGGCACTTCCGGGCCATCGTCTCTCCTGGCCCTGGTGTTTGCCAGGCTGCCCTCTCCACCCTGTCCCCTCACCCACCCCGGGTCCCTAAACTCTCCCACCCAGCCACGGAATCTGGCCTTCCCTTTGTTCTCAGAGCAAGCATGCTCTGCAGAAAGACTCTTCTTTTTTATTTTATTTATTTATAATGTTGTACCCAAACAGAAGTAAGAAACCCTCTTTAAATGAAGTGCATTTTGGTAAACAGCCTGGGAGTCCTAGGTCTGACTGCTCCAGCCCCCTCTGTTTTTGCTTAGATCCTCTGAGGAACTGCTAAGGATCACTGAGATAGGGATGGCTGGTCTTTGACTACTCCAAGATAAGGCTGACCCACACACGCCCACCCCGCCTCACCGGCTGCTCCCCGCTTTCCACCTTATGTTCTCCATGCCCTCTCCCTGGAGGACCAGGAAGTTTGAGGCCAGGACTAGAAGTAGATTCATCTTCATATTCCTGTAGTGCACACACAGACTTGGGCGAATGTCAGAAAGAATGGGAGGAGAAAGCCTGAGGGGTGGGAGAGGAAGAAAGGATTGTGGTGGAAATGAGCGAGGAGGAGAAGCCACTTGAAGTGAATTTGTTTTCAATCATACTTGGTCAGGATACATCCTAGCAGTTGTGTGAGAGCTTCCTGCTTAACTGGGCCCACCTGGGTCGGTCGTGTATGGTAGGTGGGGGGATGGATCCTCGTAAGGCACTGGATGTGGCCTCCATTCTCTCCAGGCACCTCAGCTCAGAAGCCCCTCTGCTGGGATCCTCCCAGAACAGTAATGTTTTAGCAGTGAGGTAAAGGTAAGCCCATCTCTTTTAAGAGTTGAGCTAGGTGGAGCTGTCACTTTGGTGGGAAAGTGAAGGCCGATTAGGACAGCATTACTAAGATCACATCTAATACATGATCGCATTTTTGTTTTTCCAGGTTTATCAGCAAAACTGTTGAACGCGTAACTGCCCAAGATGCCCGTCCCTCCCCCTCCAGCACCCCCGCCGCCCCCAACATTTGCACTGGTGAGTGTCTCCACCCCAATCACTTTCTATGCATAAAGCAAGCCAGATGAAGCCAAAACCTGGCACACATGTGTTTGTTTTAAATGTGTTTGTATTCTGGCTTACATATGATACAGCAGGAATGCCTGGCTTACATGTGATACAGCAGGAATGCTTTCCCAGTGCCCAGAGTAAGCCAAACCCTGAGACCCAGCAAATACAAACAACACAAAGTGTTTTGTTTGTTTAAGGTCTCATGCAACGGATGGTACAAGGGCGGAATGCGGCTGATGAGGTGTTTTCTGCCACATCCACGCAGGGAAATGTGCTGGCCCAAGATAGGGTTTGCAGGAGCAGTTCTGAGACCAGTAGGCACTGTTTTCATCCAGATGAACTGAATGTCTGGCTTTTAACTTCTGGGTTGGACGGTCTAGAAACCCAGGTCTCTGCCAGGCATGGTGGCATGAACCTGTAATCCCAGCTAGTTGGGAGGCTGAGGCAAGAGAATCACTGAATCGCTTGAACCTGGGAGGTGGAAGTTGCAGGGAGCCAAGATCTCGCCATTGCACTCCAGCCTGGTCAACAAGAGTGAAACTCTGTCTCAAAAAAAAAAAGAAAACAGAAACCCAGGTCTCTATCTGCAGTGCATTCCATTAAAGTGTCTTCCAGTCTCACTCGTTTCTTTTCCTTTGCCTTTCCCCCTCTTCTTCCCAATCTGTTTTTGACAAATATCTCCCCACCACCACCTCTCCCACACACATTCACATCCCCCTTTAAATCTATACTTGCATTTTAATGTTTATTTCCTGAAAAAAATGCCTTCACTGTATTCATCTGGTCTTTTTTCTTTCTTTCTTTTTTTTTTTTTTTTTTGACTTACTCTGTCACCCAGGCTGTAGTGTAGTGGCACGATCTCAGCTCACCACAACCTCCACCTCCCATTCAAGTGATTCTCCTGCCACAGCCTCCCAAGTAGCTAGGACTACAGACAGGTACCACCACACCTGGCTAATTTTTGTGTTTTTAGTAGAGACAGGGTTTCACCATGTTGACCAGGCTTGTCTTGAACTCCTGACCTCAGTTGATCCACCCACTTCAGCCTTTCAAAGTGCTGGGATTACAGGCATGAGCCACGGTGCGTGGCCCATCCTGCTCCTTTGATAGACTTCTTTGGGGAAGTTAGAGTGCCCTCTTCCAGGAATTTGGCAGCCCTCCACTTGGTCACATGGAAAGGCCCCAAGACACACACTGGTACAAAGCCCTTTCCAGCTTGTGAACCTTCACTGAGGAGGAGGCTTACACTGATGGTTCCTTCATTTTCACCATTTTCACATGGGGAAACAGGCTGAGAGAGGAAGTTTCTTGCCCTAGGTTTCAATGGGACACATTTAAATAACTCATCTGAGGTTGAAATCTAGTGAGAAGAACTGCCCATTAATTAACTTACTGCTACTCAGAGTGTGGTCTCCCAACAGCTTTTTAGAGTCCCCAAAGTGATGAGGACAGAAATTGAAAGTAAGCATTTAGGAGCATTTCTAGCAATTTGACAGTAGTTTTCTATCTAAGATCGGATATTATGTTTCTTTTTAAAAAAAAATTCATTTTTTTAATAATGTATTGCTATTTTACAAAAGTGTCAGTCCCTGATGAAAATATTTTTCAAAAGACTGGTCCTCGGCCGGGCATGCATTTTGGGAAGATAACTTGAGCCCAGGAGTTCGAGACTAGCCTGGACAACATGGCAAGACCCCCATATCTATGAAAAAAAAAAAATTAATTAGCCAGCCAGACACAGGGCTGCGTGCTTGTAGTCCCAGCTACTCTAGAGGCAGAGATGGGAGATTGTTCAAGCCTGAGAGGTCAAGGCTGCAGTGAGCTGCGATTGTACCACTGCACTTGAGCCTAGGTGACAGAGCAAGACTCTGTCTCAAAAAAAAAAAAAAAAAAAAAGACTGGTCCTTCACATGGATAAGTTTGAGAACCTACAATCTGGCTAACATGGTAGGATGCATTTATTCATGTTTCCCCAAAAAGTGTGGGTTACAGTGAACTGACTTAATAAAAAAATATTAAATAAATAACACAGGTGGTATGAGAAGATGACAAAAATCATGAATCTTATACCAGAATGGTTAAAGTTTGGGAAATTCTTGTTTATCTTATCAACTCATTTCTATCCGTTATTACCTAATTCAAAGCAAGATCGTGGATAAATAAAATACAGAGATGAAAAAAAGGAAAGGTGGGTTGGTGGCCATCATAGAACACTGCCCTTGTGAAACAACGTAATTAAGGACCCTGGACACAAGAGAAGTTAGCACCCAGGGAGGTCAGGCGGCAAAATAAATTTTGAGACAGAACAGGAGGCTACTGAAGGTTGCTGACCCAAAACTGTTAAGAGAGCCAGTGTGACGCATCGCTTAACCTCTCTAGGCCTCAGAGTTTTTTCATCCTTAACATGAAGACAGCAGGTAATGTTAAGAGCTCTTTCCAGGACGTCCAAAGTATGTTAAGTTGAAAACAAACAAGTTTCAGAACAATAGAGGAAAATCTCATTAGCAAAAGCAAACTGCATGCAGAGAGCATTTCTGGAAGGATAGCAGAGAAACTTTTAACAGGCTTGCTTCAGAGGTGTGTGGGACTGATGGGGAAGGGGCATTTTAGAGCCCACATTTACCATCTGTCAGCTTGTAGGGAAAACTCTGGAGTCAGACTTGCCAGGGTTTGAATCCCAGCTCCTCCTCAAATAATTAGGTGACTAGGATAAATGATTTAAACTCCCTGTACCTCAGTTTCCTTGTCTGTAAAATGGAAATAACTCACAGGGTTGATAAGGGCTGAAAACAGTGCCTGGCACAGAGTAAGAGCCTTATAAATGATAACTATTATTATCATAAGCAAGAAATACCTTTTCATTTAGTTATTTCAAGATGCTTCCAGTTTTACCATATTTTACAGTCATATTCTGTTTCCACAGTATAATTCCAATTGCACAGTAATTCTGGTGAGCCTACTTCAGGATTTCTCTGAGTTCTTCCTTTGCCTCTAACTCTGCTAATGAAAGGCTGAGTTAGGCCAGGAGCAGTAGCATGCGCCTGTAATCCCAACTACTCAGGAGGCTGAGGCAGGAGGATCACTTGAGCCCAAGATTTTGAGACTGTAGTGCACGATGATCACACCTGTGAATAGCCACTGCACTGCAGCCTGGGCAACATAATAAGACCATGTCTCTAAAAAAAAAAAATTGTTCTTTAAAGGCTGGGTAAGGTATCGAGCCACATGTTTCCCCAGCTTTTCCAGGGCCCTAACTGGCAAACCTGAAATCATACCCCTGTCAGCAGGGCTAGGGCCAGCCTAGAAAGGACCTGTGGGTTTTGGGCAGCCAGACTCTCCCTGGGACAGGTAAGACCTAGCCAGTTTCCAAGTACGGCAGACACAGGCACACAGGCAGGTGCCTACGCCCAAGTCCTTTTGCTGGTCTCTTAGTGTCCCCACTCCCTGAAGGAATAAGATCCCAATTTCATAGTAGGGATCTTTCCTAGGAATTCTGGAAAGAGAAGAAAACACTCACATACTAAAGCAGCACCTTTGTCCATTCTGCAATTTTCATGGATTAAGCTTTCATCAGAATTAAACATCAGAAACACCTCATGCCAACAAGACATGAGAGAACCTTTGAGGTAATGAAAATATTCTATATCTTGATTGTGATGGTGGTTACACAGCTGTATATGTTTGTCAAAACTCATGGAACTGTAACTAAAAAGAATGATTTCACTATATGTAAATTATGCCTTAATAAATCTGACTTAAAATGAAAAAAAGCATCTTTGGCAATATACACAGAGGGAATTATTTTCTAGAATTTTAGTGGGCTTAAAAAACATACAGCTGACTCTTTTTGCTAGAGACAGTTTTTCCCTTGCACTGGATTAGTTCTAAAAGATGAGAAAAGGAAGTTATTCTTCAGGGTACCCTCTGGTGAGTGAAGCCCGATAACGTCCTGCAGAATGCTCCCAGACTTAAAATTCTTTTCTCGTGTCTAGTCATCTCACCCTAACCTGGCTCTGTTAGTTACAGTCAGACTGTGGTCTGAATTTTCAGAGGCTTTAATCAAGGACTGACTCTTCCTGCCTTAAAAATGAACATAATTTATTGCTACATCTGCTTCCAAACATCTGGGTCTTAAAAAGAATGATATGGGGTTGAAAACTTGTCTTGAATTTACAGCCTATCACCAAGAACCGTAATAACAAGATTCCAGTACCCAGCCTGTCCCAGCCAAGTGTTATAATACATTATTTTAACCCAAGAGATGACTACTCATTTGTATGGTTTCCTTTCAGGCCAATACAGAGAAGCCTACCTTGAATAAGACAGAGCAGGCTGGGAGAAATGCTCTCCTTTCTGATATCAGCAAAGGGAAGAAACTAAAGAAGACGGTCACCAATGACAGAAGTGCACCAATATTGGACAGTAAGTGAAAAAAGCTATTTTCCATGGAGAGAAATGTTTTATGACCTAACAATCAACCCTACCCTCACCCCTCAAAATTTTGGGGGGGAGGTTAACAGCTGCAAAGCTAGCAAAATAAGGGACTGTATCACTCCCTATAGGCCATAGCTTTGGCTTGGGTTCCCCTCTAATGCTGTAAGAAGCCAATATAATAATTCTTTGTCCAAGACATACACAGCAGCAATTCTCTGCATTATTCACAACACTTTCTGGAGATTAACCCATTGCTCCTAGCACCACAGATGAGGAGGCAGCATAAAATATGGAAGAGCCCTAGCCTTGGAATCAAAAGATGTGGGTTCAAGACCTAGCACGGCCATCCCATACCATCTCCAAGTCTTGTTGTCTTTATTTTAAAGTGAAGATGATAATACATGTTCTATTGACCTCACAAGTTTGTCGTGAGCTTCAAATGAGATAATGCCTGTAAAATGTTTTGTTGTCTGGAGAGTATAATTCAAGCGTAAGATACGATCATCAGGAGCTTAGAGAGAAAGGAAATGAGGTCACAACTTTGCTTATCTACCCACCTAAGTCTGAGGTACTTTCTGGAGCAAGGCTACTTATTAACGTTTACAACAGGACAAAAAATTATCCATGACGAGAATTCTACTGGCAATTAATAAAGAGGTCTTAAGGCTGTCTCCTCGTATTCCTAGACCCTTCCTTTGCCTGCCAGATGTCCCCAAGATTCATCCTAGAATACAGTTCTCATTTGGAAGCAACAGGAAATAGACTGACCTTCCAAAATCACCAGATGGAGCTTTGTCAACAAGTGAATAATGAGGCAGAATCTTAGCAAAGTAGAAGATTAGAAGTGCTTCGGGGAACTTTCCAGGAGAAATGCCTAATGAGTAGAGAAGGAAGAAGGATTAGAGTTAGGCGGACTACTGGTTTTGGGAGGAAAAAAGAAAAGCAAAAGACCTAGATCAGGCCTTTGAATGTTGTTCTGTTACCGGGCAAAGTGATGCAAGTAAGAATGTACCACTTTCAAAAAGGAACTATGACCGGGAGTGGTGGCTCCCCCCTGTAATTCCAGCACTTTTAGAGGCCGAGGCGGGTGGATCACTTGAGGCCAGGAGTTCAAGACCAGCCTGGACAACATGGTAAAAACACTGTCTCTACTAAAAATACAAAAATTAGCCGGGTACGGTGGCACATGCCTGTACTCCCAGCTACTCCGGAGGCTGAAGCACAAGAATCACTTGAACCCGGGAGGTGAAGGTTACAATGAGCTGAGATTGTGCCACTGCCCTCCAGCCTGGGCAACAGAGCAAGATTCTGTCTCAAAAAAAAAAAAGAAAGAAAGAAAGAAAGAAAGAAACTAAGGTATTTAACTCTTAACATAGTCTAACTTGTAAGTCCAAATGCGCACAAAATGAAGGTGGTTATAATATAATCCCTCTAATCTTTCAGCCCTCCAATAGCCATCTAAATCATGGTCCCTGGTATGAGGCTAGAGCTGCTGCTGACCTCTAGGACAGAGGCCTTTGGTCCTCCCCACTAAAAGAGGGAGCCTAGGGCTCTGCTGAAGGAGACTGGACAGTGTAGACCCATTCCTGAATCCGCTAGTGGAAACCCATTGTATTCTTCAAGGTCCACTTCTGTCATTTAGTGGAAATAGTGTTAGTCCTTCTCACTTCCACGATGTTTAATAATTTGCTTTCCTTGGTAGAAGGAAGATCCAGTCCAGCGCAGGCCCTGTCCACGCACTTAACTGGACAGCTATCCTGCTGTCACAAGCTCTGTGCAAGCAGCAGTGTTTATCCATGGTTTTGTGTCTGTTTGCATGTGAAATTCCCTGGGCTATATGTCAAAATGTTGACCATGGTTATGTGTGATAACTCCCAAACTCAGCCCTGTCCTGCAGTTTAGTTACTAAAGAAATAGTCAGGAGCCAGTTAACCGTCCTCAACTTTAGCTTCTCTTTCTGAAAGACAGACAGATGTTACAGGTTAAGAACACTAATGGATGATGTCTGATTGTGCAAGAGTGCCTCTGAAGTTTCAATACAGTATAAATGTGTCCTGTGTAAGTGCAGTATTCCAAAATGTGTCATTCATCAATGAATAGTGTTTGAATGGCAAGGGCAATGTTAATAGCAAAAATTTTAAATTTTATATGGTAACAATTTTGCATACACTTCTAGAAATTGTTAGTTTTATATGATTTATCCTGCTAAGTAAAGTAATGCTTATCAGTTCTTATCAGATTATTTCTTCCACAGCAGAGCTACCATAAACATTCTAGGAAGCTCCGCACCTGGAAAAGATACAGAACTAATACAAATTTATGATAAACCTAATCGAGAAAAAAAGGAAATAAAAATGAATAAAAGTAGAATTCAGAAAGCAGATAAAATAAGAGACTCAAAGCAGATTTTCCAAAATTAAAGTAGTGTAATAAAAATATGTGCTAAAACATTTTAAGATTTTAAAGTATTTATTAAAATTTATCCAGGAAGCCTCAATGAGCAAGGGAAAAAATGAAAACTTTATTAAATTACTTTCTCTCCAAAAAGCTTTGGAGCCAGATGGTTTTATTAGCAGATTCTTTCAAATTTTAAGAAACAGCTAATTCAAATGCTATATAAGTCATTCCCCAACATATTAAGAGATGAAAAGCTATCTAATAATTATAAGGAAATTGGCATTATCCTAACGTCAAAACTTGACAAAGGCAGCACATACAAAAAAAGAAATCCATACATTAGTGGTTTTCAACTGGGGGTGATTTTTGCATCCCAGGGGATATGTGGCAATGTCTGAAGACATTTTTAGTCACTGCTTTGGGGGCACAGGGAGGGCTGCTACTGACATCTAGTGGGTAGAGGCCAGGGATGCTGTAAACATGCTGTAAAGAACAGGATAGCCACCCACAACAAAGAATTATCTGACCCAAAATGTTAGTAATTAAGAAATCCTACCATGGACCACTCATCATCATAGATAAGAGAAAACTAAAATATAAAAAAAACAAATCTAAACCAATCGAATGTTACCAGAATAATTCACCAACACCAGGGTTTATCTGCTTTTTTGTTTTTTTTTTTCTTTTTGAGACAGGATCTTGTCTTGTCACCCAGGCTGGAGTACTGTGGTATGAACACAGCTCACGGCATCCTTGACCTCCCAAGCTCAAGGGATCCTCCCACCTCAGCCCCCCAACTGGCTGGGACTACAGGTGCACCACCACATCTGGCTCATTTTTTGTATTTTTTGTAGAGATGGGAGTCTCACCATTATTGCTTATGCTGCTCCTGAACTTCTGAGCTCAAGCCATCCACCCGCTGTGGCCTCCCAAAGTGTTGCGATTACAGGCGTGAGCCATTGCACCCAGCCTATCCCATTTTTAACATTAGGAAGTCTATCCATCATATCAAATAAAAAAGACCATATAATTGTCTCAGTAGATCTCAAATAGGCATTTCATAAAATTTCATGCCATAAGAAATTCTTGTAAACCTAAAATAGAAGGATTGATCGACTGAATATTTAGAAAGGGGAAAAACCTATTTCAAACCAATAATTCATATTAACTTTGAAAACATCAGAGGCATTCTTATTAAAATCAGAGCATGGTTGCCTTTAACAACATTAATAATTTACATTGTTATGAAAATTTACCCATCAAAGTAATTATATGAAACAGAAATAAGACATACAACTCTTAAAGGAGGCAAAATCTTTATTATTTGAAGACCCCATGCACACTAGAAAATGCAAGATAATAAATTTTTAGTAAATTTTAATTTAGAAAATATAGCAAAGTGGCTCATTAGGTATTAAATACAATTTCCTGGCACCAAAAATAACCAATTACAAAATGTAATGGAAAAAAACATCCCTTTCACAGTTTCAGCAAACAAAAATACATTTGAAGTAACGTTAACAAAAAGCATGTGTAATGTAGATCATGAAAACTAAAAAACTTTGCCAAAAAATTCAGAAGACATGAATAAATGGGAAAATATACCACGTCTCCAAATGTAAAGTCTAAATATTATAAAAGTATCAGTTCTCCCAAATTAATTTGTAGATTTTATATACTGTTTATCAAAGACTCAACATAGTTTTTTGGGGAGAGGACTTTAAACAATGTTTAAGCTCATGAATACAAACATGCATACATACATAAATTGTTAAGAGATAATTTTTTTAAAGAGGGTATTAGCATTTCTTGAACACAACTAATTTGCACTTTCTTGGACAAATACCATTGCATTAATGTCAATTTTCTATACCTTTCAGACTGATAATACTGTAGCTCAAAGACAATGGAAAGTAACCCAGAAGACTAGACAGAATGCTCAGTAATCTTTTTGTTTGTTTGCTTGTTTATTTGCTTCCCATCAAAATCTTTCACAATTTTTTGCAGATAAATTCAAAATAAAACAAAATCTTCATACCCTCTCAAATCACAAAGAATGTTTAAATTACCTAAAGCCTACTGTTGGGCTTCATTATGTTAAAAAATTAATAGCAATCTAAAGGGCCATCAAATGAGTAGCTAAACAAATGGAATACATTCATGTTCTATAATACAATCCTTTAAACTCATGTTTTAAAAGAGTATTGTGACACAAGAAGCGCTAACAAAGTGTTAAATGAAAAAAGCAGGCTTAAAACTGCCTAGTGAATTCATTCTTAATTTTAAGAAAAAACACATACAATGAAAAATACTGTCGGGAGAAAGTATAACTCAATAGTGGATATTTGCTTGGTTTTTTGCTTGTTTTGGTGCTGGAGTGAAGTGGCGCAAGCATAGCTCACTGCAGCCTCAATGGGTTCAAGTGATCCTCTTACCTCGGCCTCCTAAGTAGCTGGGACTACAGGTGTGCACCACCATGCCTGGCTAAATTTTTTATTTTTGTGGATACAAGGTCTCACTTTGTTGCCCAGGCTGATCTCAAACTCCTGGGGGCCAAGCTGTCCTCCAATCAGCCTCCCAAAGTGCTGGGATTATAGGTGTGAGCGACCACGCCCAGCCTAGATATTTATTTATTTATAAAATTATGGGATATTTTATTTTCTTCTCTTTTTAACTCTTTCCTTTCTTCTCACATTTTATGGTATCTCCTTCTCCCTCAGGACCTTCTTTCTTTTTTTTTTGAGACAGGGTCTTACTCTGTCACCCAGGCCGGAGTGCAGTGGTGCAATCTTGGCTCCCTGCAGCCTTGACCTCCCCAGCACAAGTGATCCTCCCACCTCAGCTTCCATAGTGCTGAGAGTACAGGTGTGAGCCACTGTGCCTGGCCTGGAGATCCTTCTATTTGCCAAATCTTAGGATACAAAACAAATAGATATTGACCCATGTGGCAGCCAGTCAAGTGGGGAGCTTGGGGACAAATCATCCTTTATTTTCACTTCTTACACCACGGGGCCTGGGACTGCCTGGAGCAGGCAGTTCTGACTGCGCTGAGGGAATTCTTAAAATCCTGCATTGTAATGAAGAAATCCCAGTTGTCCACCAGAGTCCCAGAGCCAGCCAGCTCCCTGTTGCACTGTTGCTTTATGGTTTACCTGGGCCAGACCCGGAAGCGTACTGTGACGGGTGTTTCTTCTTCTGCAGAACCTAAAGGAGCTGGAGCTGGAGGTGGTGGTGGCGGTAGCGGCTTTGGTGGAGGCGGTGGATTTGGCGGAGGAGGTGGTGGCGGAGGCAGTGGAAGTTTTGGAGGGGGTGGACCTCCAGGTCTGGGAGGATTGTTCCAGGCTGGAATGCCGAAGCTGAGATCCACGGCCAACAGGGATAATGGTAAGGAGAGTTTCCTTCTCTCTGAGTAACTGAAGATGAGGCAGTTTGGCAGTTTGGAGGCTGGTCATAACCTCTAAGGCTCTTTGCCCTTCTTAAAATATTGTACATTGTTTGAAATATTACCGCTGTTTCATAAGAGACTCAATTTAGGCTTTATTATTATTATTAACCAGGATCAGACAGCTCCATAGAACTATGAAATTTTCACCCAGTGTCTTTGAGGGTAATCTGTCCTTTCTTTTCACTTTTCTAAAGGGTTAGCTGGAATACCCTTTAGAAAGAAAAGGGAGAAGCAAACAGAACTTACTGGGCCCGGAAATCAGCCTGGTGACCTGGCAGATTCAGCTTTCATTGTGAGGTAGTCCAGCTGTCTAATAGAGTCAATGCTTGTAAGCTTCTTTTCAAACACTAGGGAGCACGTCTTGTGGAATATGATTACAAATCTCACTAAATCTGAAACTGTTTTGCAAGACAGACATTTGCTATTTCAGTGCCAGTGGTTCTCAGGAGTATCTGCAGGGAGCCATGGATATGAGTCCTTCAGGAGTGTCTATGAACCTGATTGTAGAGAAACGCTGAACTTGCTCATGAATGCCTAATAAAAAAACTTTGCAGAGAGCACGAGGCTCTCTCCTGACTACTACAGAAACTCAAGAAATTTTACCTTAAGACTTTTTGTAATGTTGATCATGTTAGAAGAATTTTCTTTCTAAGACCTTTTATAAGATGTCCTCTGGGAAAGTATGAAATTCTCACATTTACGTGAACATAGAGTCACTGAACCCTCAGGGTTAGCCTATTACTTTATCACTGAATGGTCCAAATCTAGAGAGAAACTCAATCACATGAGAGGCTCTGTCTTGCTGGACCACCGTTTAAATTTAAATTTATTTATTTAAAATTCACCAAAAGGATTTAAATCCTTAAGGCAGCTGATAAATGTATACATTCAGTACTTTAACAGCAGGTGAAGAAATTAAGGCAAAAGACAAAGAAAAATAAAATAATAAAATGGGCCTGGCATGGTGGCACACACCTATAATCCCAGCACTTTGGGAGGTCAAGGCAGGCAGATTGCTGAAGCCCAAAAGTTCAAGACTAGCCTAGGCAACATGGCAAAACCCCGTCTCTACTGAAAAACACTAACAAAAAATTAGTAGGCACAGTTGCTGTTGCCTAGCCCCAGCTACTCAGGAGGTTGAGGTGGGAGGATTGCCTGAGCCTGGGAAGTTGAAGCTGCAGTGAGCCATGATCGCACCACTGCACTCCAGCCTGGGCAATAGAGGAGAGCCTGTCTCAAAACAAAAATAAAAAAAAAAGTTTTCTCTTCAGTTCATGATATCCCATTGTATAAATCTGTCCAAATGCTTCTTCCTATGCCTTAGATAAGATCGGAACCCCTTCTGTCACTCACCCCTGCTGACCGCTCAGGCTCCACTTCCCATGGATCTCTCCCATTCTCACTGTGTCCCCAGCATACGGGCCTCTGTTTTTTAACTTGAAGCTCTTTCCCACCTCCGGGCCTTTGCACCTGCTGGCCCCTGGGCTGAAGTGCTGGTCTTCCTCATCTTTCCATGACCAACTCCTTGTCAAGCCTCAGCTCACATGTCACATTCTCAGAAAAGCTTTCCCCAGCCACTCCATGTACCCTGGCCTCTCCAAGCACTCTTGATTTCATCAGCCTATTTTAGTGTCTTTTTAGTACATATAATTATCTGAAAGTATTTCCTGGTTTATTGTTTTTCTCCCCCTACAAGAATGTAAACTATAGGAATACAGAACCTTTTCTACTGTCTACTCCTCTGTCTCTAGCCTCTAGATTAATGGCAGGTGCATAGCAAGTGCTCAGAATTATTTAGTAAATTTATTAACTCATAACTGAAGGGTAGATTTTTTTTCTTTTTTTCAGAATTTCCTTGAGTTCCAAGAGATTGTGGGATGGTGGTTTGAAATTTTCCATCTCTTCAGTTCCCTCTTTAGTTTCTCCCTTGTTGAAGCAGAGCAGTTATAGGATTGTTCTGTCCTGCCAATATTGAAGCAGAGGTTGACCTGGTGAGAAAAAAGTTGTGTAGTTGCCTAATTCTTTGTAGATGAATTCCATCCACTGGTGTCGACTCTTCCAATTAAACTTCATCTGATGGTTTGTTTTTCTTTTCTTAGTTTTTTCTTATTGCAGTCATAACTCTTTCCTTATATTTTTCCACCTTTTCTTGGGCATTTTTCTTCAAAGGGACTAGATAAGCCCTCACATATGGAGATTTTCATTGGGATAATTAATTTTTTCACCTAAGGCAGCTGACTTTCAAAACTGGGAGATCAAAGCTGAGAGACAGAGATGGTGATGGGAAAAAATGAAAATCATGATTCTACTCATGCCATCTTGTTCTTGTCTTCTCGTAATGAACAGGCACCTCACCAGAACCCTCACTCATTTCATCCTGGCTTTTCTCCATACATAATGCTAATAGAGCTTTCCAGAATCCTTTTGAAAGCTGTTGGGCTGTAGAACTTGGGACTAGCAGGTAAATAGAGCTGTGGTCTATTTCCTGCTCCCAGGAAGGACCACACAAAACCCATATGATATAAATAATAGCTTCCTGTATTTTATAGCCCCCTGAGGAAGGGACTTCCAGTTACTGGGAACAGACTCTAGCTTGCTGATTTCTTTAGGGTTCCCGTTTCCTAACTGGACGTTTGTTTTCCTGTTCTTCAGATTCTGGAGGAAGCCGACCACCAATTTTGCCACCAGGAGGAAGATCCACATCTGCCAAACCTTTTTCGCCCCCAAGTGGCCCAGGGAGGTTTCCAGTGCCTTCTTCAGGCCACAGAAGTGGTCCCCCAGAGCCTCAGAGGAACCGAATGCCACCCCCGAGGCCCGATGTGGGCTCAAAACCCGATAGCATTCCCCCTCCAGTACCTAGTACTCCAAGACCCATTCAGTCAAGTCTGTACAACCGGGGGTCCCCACTAGTGCCCGGAGGCCCCAGGCAGCCCAGCCCCGGGCCCACTCCTCCTCCTTTCCCTGGAAACCGTGGCGCTGCTTTGGGAGGAGGCTCAATGCGTCAGTCCTCCTCTCCCTTCTCCAACCGGCCTCCCCTGCCACCTACCCCCAGCAGGGCCTTGGATGACAAACCCCCTCCGCCACCTCCTCCAGTGGGCAACAGGCCCTCCATCCACAGGGAAGCGGTTCCCCCTCCTCCCCCTCAGAACAACAAGCCTCCAGTGCCTTCCACTCCGCGGCCTTCCCCCTCCTCACAGGCCCCACCTCCACCGCCACCTCCCAGCCGGCCTGGGCCTCCTCCCCTGCCTCCAAGTTCCAGCGGCAGTGACGAAATCCCAAGACTCCCACAGCGAAATCTGTCCCTCACTTCGTCCACACCCCCCTTACCTTCGCCAGGACGTTCAGGTCCTCTTCCTCCCCCACCCAGCGAGAGACCCCCACCTCCAGTGAGGGACCCACCAGGCCGATCAGGTATGACAAGACGTGGGGTGAGTTGTTCCCAAAACCCAACCCGCCCAAATGTTCCAGTAATCCTGTCAGTCAAGATAGTCTAACAAAAGCATGCACAAGTCAACTCTCAGACTGCTTTGTGCTTTTAAAGTAGCTTGCGACACATGTGGTCATGACCTCATGTAAACCTCTGAGGAAAGTGAGACCAACATTTCTGTTGGTGTTGTAGAGATGAGGACACTAGCCAATAAAGTTAAACGGCCATGAGCTGGTTAATAAGGAAGAGGCACGTTAATCCTCCATCTGGGAAGTCTACTTGCCAGTCTACTACCCTGCCTCCCTAGAGAGAATTTCTGCGGGCTTAATTGGGAAAATAAGTTCCCACCTCCTGAAGGAGGGCTCCGTTATTCCAACGACAGGGGCAGTTCTTCAAGAGCTAATGAACTTCTCCTGCATTTCTCTCTTCATGCGTCAGGCTTTGGGGCCATTTCTCTGCTCATTAAAGACAGATGTTAAAAAAAGTCCATTTTGCTCTTTGTTAACATCTCTGGTACAGAAATCCCTTGGAGGATCAAATAAAGATATAGACTTTATCTTCACAAAAATGCTCAGGCCTAAACTCAAAATTCACTTGCTATCGCATGGCTTGGAGGGTCTGCTGAAGCCCATCTGAGACCCTTCCAATGCCCCCGTCCACAGTTGAGAAACCTTGATCTCAGAGACAAACTTTCAGAGTATGAAAGGAAATGCGAGGATTGCCTAGAGTTTGACCTCTCTCTCAATTATAATAGGCATTTTTAGTAGAATACACTTACTTAATTCATTTTACAGTGGTTATGGATGAACTCTGTAGGACTGTCTCCTTGTAAAATTTAATCTCATCATACAGACCTTATCATGTCTGGAAATGGGGCATTTCTTTCCTTTATGCAGAGATAACAGACCTTTGACACTGTGACCTTAGGAACTTCATAATCACCTTTTTTTTTTCTTTTTTTGGAACAGAGTCTTGCTCCATCACCCAGGCTGGAGTGCAGTGGTGTGATCTCAGCTCATTGCAACCTCTGCCTCCCAGGTTCAAGTGATTCTCCTGCCTCAGCCTCCTTAGTAGCTGGGACTACAGATACATACCACCACACCTGGCTACTTTTTTTTATATATTTTTAGTGGAGACGGAGTTTCATAGTGTTAGCCAGATGGTCTTGATCTCCTTACCTCATGATCCACCAACCTCGGCCTCCCAAAGTCCTGGGGTTACAGGCATGAGCCACCAAGCCAGGCCTAGAATCACCATTCTTTAAACTTGCTTACATACTGGAATCACTTAGGGAGCTTTAAAAACCACAAATGCCTGTGGCCCTTCCCAGAGTCTCTGGTGTAATTGGTCTGGGATGCAGACTGGGAATCAGTATATTTAAAAGCTCCGCAGTGATTATAGTGTGCAGCAGAATTTGAGAACCACACCTTGAAACTGTTGTGCGTTGGCCCTACCAAATGGATGAGTCAGCAGATTAAATCTTCCCCAAAATATGATAGGCATTGACATATAACATTTATTATTTCATTTGATTATGTAAGTCATACTTATTATAGAAATACTGAAAAATATAAAGAAAATTAAAATTATCTGTAATCCACTACCACCATCCAGAAATAATCATTGATAACATTCTTTTCATGTGTCCTTTCAGTCTTTTTAAAATGCATATAATGTACAGTTTTACAAACTTGGTATCATGCTACATATATTGTTGCTAATTTGCTTTTTATTTAACAGTATCTCATTGATGTTTGCTGCTATGATTATTCTTCTACAGCCTGTCTTTTAACAGCTACCTAATATTAAATCCTACAAATGTACCTTGATTTATTTAACCAATCCCCTCACTTGGTCATATGGGCCATCTCTAGATTTTTCCTCTTGCAGATAATGCAGTGATACATTTTTGTAGCAAAATATGTGTACATATCTCTGTGTTTCCTTCGGACGAATTCCTATAAGTGGAATTTCTGGGTCAGTGAGTGTGCATAGTAAACTATGGATTTCATAGGTACTGCCAAATTGCCTTCCAGAAATTTTTTACCAATTTACACTCCCACAAGGAGCATATAAGAGTTCATCAAAGGCCCTCGGTATTTTGAGTGGTTTGGCTTCATTATTATGGGAGTGGGCCTTGGAATCTGATAGATTTGGAGTCAGATTCTCTCCTCCCCCCAGTCTCCTGATGAGCTTTTTAAGCTTCCAAAATTTCTGAGGCCTTGTCTTCTATCCCTGTTCGTCTTAGGATTGTTGTAAGAATTTAATGAGACAAGCATGTATAGTCGTTATCTTATTTCCTGGCCTGTAGTTATATTCAATAAATAATCATTTCTGTTATTCTGCCAGTGGGAAATAGACATCTTTTCTCCTGTGCTTGCCAGAATTTGGAGCAGGAAGCCATGGGGTTGGAGAGTTAGGAACATGAACATGACCATTTACTTTAAAAAGAAAAAGGGGCCAGGCAGAGTGGCTCACACTTGTAATCCCAGCACTTTGGGAGGTAGAGTCAGGCAGATCACTTGAGGTGGAGAGTTCGAGACCAGCCTGACCAATATGGTGAAACCCCATCTCTACTAAAAATACAAAATTAGCTGGGCGTGGTGGTGCATGCCTGTAATCCCAGCTACTCAGGAGGCTGAGGCAGGAGAATTGCTTGAACCCGGGAGGCAGAGATTGCAGTGAGCCAAGATCACATCACTGGACTCCAGCCTGGGCGACAAGAGCAAAACGCTGTCTCAAAAAAAAAAAAAAAGGAGATGAAGTTGATCAACTTACATTGTACAGGGCCCCATCATACTGGAAGTGGAGTTTGCATGTAGTGACAGTTGTGTGGTGGTATCACCAATGAACTTAAACCCACAGCAAATGAGATACTTTCCTCAATCAACTCTTGCTGCCTGGGACTCCAGCAATGACAAGCAGATAGGGTAATAAGTAACCACTACCAGGTGAGTCACTGAAGACTCCTTGAGAGACCAACCAGGGCTAGGCAGTGCCTCCCACCGTCGTAAAATGTTTGAGCCAAGACTTTCTGTCAGGGATATCTACAGTGGGCAGGTTGTTCAATTTAAGGTTCCTAATTGGATTCTGAATCTACAGCTAATAAGATATTTATTTATAGCACCATAAGACATTGTATTCACATAAAATTCAGCATCTTACAAGTGGAACACTGCCAAAGATCAAGAATAATAACTAAGGCCATTTTGATTTACATTGGAAAATGCTCAAGTTTTGGGTTTTGTTTTTGTAATTTACTTACTACTCAAATAGCCGCTGCATTTGAAGGACAGGAAAAGCAAGATGGTTTCCTTTTGTATTACCAAAAGTAATTTACTTTGAATTTTTCTTTAGGAACTTAAAAACTTAAGGTTATACCATACTGCTACATTTTAAAAAATGGTTTCAAATACTTCCATAGTATTTTTTTATTTGTGTTTTCACTGTTTTTTTCTGGCAGCAGTGCTATAAGACAGGTGACCATCTGGCACTCTTTTATTGCTAGGAAACCAAGTTCCATAGGGTACCAGCTTGCTCAGGGTCAGAACTCACATTAGCATTTATAGCCATGGATGTTGGTTAGTTGTTTGTCACTCCCTGTGTTCATCTGCCTCCCCAAAGAGAAAGAACCAAGGAGGAACTCCTGCTCTCAGGATGACTGGCGTTTGGTTTCCTGATGCCACTTCTGCCTGGAAACAGATCACATGCATCACAGAAACTTGCTTGTGTAATTAACAACAAAACTGTGCATTTAAAGAACTTTGTTCTTCTGAAGACCTAAAATAATTTCATAACTATCCTATTCTTTTTTAAGAATTATTTCATGTCACAGTGATTAGTTCAATAGCTCTTTAAAGGATTATAAATTTTTTTTAATTATATGGTTGTCAGTATAAACAGATTTTCACCTGTTTTCAATTTCATTGTGCCATCTCCAATCTCAGTGCAAACCCAAAGCCAAAACAGCCGTTTAGCTATCAGTATGCACTTGTTTTCATATATATGAATACACAAGTGCATTTTTGTGTTTCTGTGTGTTTACTCATTCCCCAGCTAAATCTCTTAGAAAATCTCCACCCTAGTTAAAGGGCATGTATCTGGCAGGTCCCCATCAGGCTTACACTGTTGGTGACCACTGTAATGGAATGTGGATGGAAGGTTCTACACTAAGTGTCTTCTTTTGCTCCAGGCCCCCTCCCACCACCTCCTCCAATAAACAGAAACGGTAGCACGTCTCGGGCCCTGCCTGCCACCCCTCAGTTGCCGTCCAGGAGTGGAGTAGATAGTCCCAGGAGTGGACCCAGGCCTCCCCTTCCTCCTGACAGGCCCAGTACTGGGGCACCTCCCCCACCTCCACCAGCAACATCTATTAGAAATGGCTACCAAGACTCTCCATGTGAAGGTGAGGTGTTGTCCCGGCTCCCTAAGCTATAGGACAGCAACTAAATAGTAAATCTGTTTGTATGTGTGGTTTGCTTGTTTGAGTTTAATTTCTTGTTCCATCGTTATCCACTCCATTGCACTGATCCAACTGTCTAACCATTCTAAGGCCCACCATTGATTTCAAATTAAAAATAGTAATCTCCCTTCCCCAGTTCCCAAAATGGCGGATCATTTTTCTCTGATCTGTTCTTTGAGTCTCGTTTTAGTTAACTTTACAGAGATTCAAGGATTCGGAAAAGAACCTCTTTATAGCTTGCCTTCTTATTATGTACATTTCTAAACAGTTCACTATAGGTAAGAAGCCCAATGGCTCTTACCTGCTATGCCGCCTATCTCTGCCATTGTTATCAGAGTGGTCCCAGTTATTCCTGGGCCTGCTGGTACAGAAAAAGGTGTCCCATACCTTAGCCCCCAGCTCCTAAGAAGGATTAGTCAATCATCACTGTCATTAAAAACCGCTTTGCTTTGATTTGCAGGCCTGAGATTATATGTATATATATATAAAACAGTGTACTAATCCATGATCTTTGTAGCACTTCCAGCTTTTCTGTAAACTTCTAGGCATAAAAACTAGCACTGATGTCTGTGGTTCTCTCTGGTTCATTCTGTGCCTTTCATTATGTAAATCTTCATAGCAGATTGTCTGTCACTGAAGATACTGCTTGTTTCTCCCCCCAGATGAGTGGGAAAGCAGATTCTACTTCCATCCGATTTCCGATTTGCCACCTCCAGAGCCATATGTACCAACGACCAAAAGTTATCCCAGTAAATTGGCAAGAAATGAAAGCCGGAGTGAGTATTTCTGCCAAGGTTTTTGAAGATTCATGCTTGAATAGCCTGAATAGAAAATCCTGGGCTGTATAGAAAATCCAGGCTATTGCCTGGAGTGGGGTAGAGAGCCCTTTGGAACCATCTACATTCTAGTAAATCCCCCTTCCAGAGCAGTGAGGAAATTTCAGGTGCCCAGAATGCATATGAGAAACAGTTATTTTAATTTGTTCATTACAAGCTGAAAATACTGTGGTTTGCTAGTATTAAATTTTATTATTTTGCTTCTTTAGACAGTCTTCCTTCATTTTCATCTTCCTGAGACAGCACAAGTAGAGCCATCTCCTATTCCTTCTAGTTTTGAAATTGGCATGTGCCTGATTAATTACAACAAAAATTTCCTGTAACTGCCTTGATCTTTCAAATGTAGTACAATCATAGCTTTACAGAGCATTACATGAAAATTTAAATATATCTATAATCTCTCCACATAATAGATATTTTCATTTTATCAGATTCTCGTCCCAATTTTTTATCCATATAATTCTGATTTTTTTATGTAGTTATAATGACAGAGAACAGTTTTTTGGTGGCGGGGCTTACATAACATTGCTTAGTAAACAGTGTCCATGTTATCACACGGTTTTTATTTCTGCATATAGTAACTTACCATTCCTATGGACATTTAAATTATTTCTGTTGTTCTGCTAATGTAGGTAATGCTACCATAAAGAAGTAAATTGCTTTTCCTCCATTGAAAAAGAAATGTGAACAAGAAGGGAAAATAGACAGACTGGAATTTCATAACAGTAAATGTGTAGGAAGTGTTACAGCTCTTTTGGAATTTGTCTAGCAGGCTTTCCAGGGTTTTGCTGGACAGTCTCTTAAATTTACTTTAAAAAACACAATAAATATACACAACTAAGAAAGAATTAGCATGAAATATGCATATGTCACCGATGAGGCTTAGGTTCGTCGCAGCCTTAGCCTCAGAGCCGAATTCCCAAACCAGAAATAGAGGAAACATAAGCAAGCAAGTCAAATACCTGTCACAACACCCCTTGCCATGGCTTCACTCCTTAGCAGAGTGTCTTACACGTACTCAGAGCTTACTGATTCTTTCCTAACACAGTTGAAAGTAATTTTTGGTTGGTCGGTTCCCAACCTTATAGGAGATTAATAACAGCTAAAGTTAAGACTGGTGAGAAGCAAAATCACTACCATGAGAGAGAAGTGACAGATGGCAGTCCCAGGGCAGAGGAGGAGATAGGAACAAGGCTGCGCTGTGTGTCGCAGCACAGGACAACACCACGTGTTTCTGTTGGGTTAAATGCGATTAAATGAATTGAGTCAAACTGTGCTTTGTGCCTCTGTAGAAAAATTGAAAGAGTTAGAAAATATAGGAAAATTTCCACGGACAAATGCTAGAAGAAAACAGAATACTACTGCTTAAAAGGAAAACTTTAATTCCTGGAAAATATCTGTTTATGTGGAAGACTGCATTCACAGACAATACCTAATAAAGAGGTATAGGCGTAATAAAATTATTGTGTAAGAGTTGATGATTGGAATTTTTAGTGAAAAGTATGTTTTCACATGAGACAAATATCTTTGAATGCTGTGTGTGCGTGTGCATGTGTGCGTGTGTTTGTGTGTGTGTGTCTGTGTGTGTTCACCAGAAGGGCTTCTGTTTTGATAAGAGTACAGCCCTTCTTCCTTCTTGGGCACCAATAAATGAATTTACTTTAAGGAGTTGTTCATATAGACTCTAAATATTTTTGCTGACTTCTTATAAGCTTCTTATTCTAAATATTATTTGCATTTTTAAATCAGTAACAGACCATCTTCCCTGCACTCTCTAGATTTTGAAGGTAATAGCTAAGCATATTTTTTCCCCATCCTCCTTTAAGACTCAAGTAGGCAACATAGGACTAGAACTGTGTCTTGCTCTTTATTGCATCTTCCTTGAGAGGCACAGAGCCTGAAACATAAAGGGCATTTTCAAGTATTTCTTTCTAAAAATTTTCTTGGCCAGGTGCGGTGGCTCACACCTGTAATCCCAGCATTTTGGGAGGCCAAGGCAAGCGGATCACGAGATCAGGAGTTTGAGACCAGCACGACCAACATGGTGAAACTCTGTCTCCACTAAAAAAATACAAAAATTAGCGGGATATGGTGGTGCACGCCTGTAATCCCAACTACCCCGGAGGCTAAAGCAGGGGAATTGCTTGAACCCGGGAGGCAGAGGTTGTGGTGAGCCGAGATTGCACCACTGCACTCCAGCCTGAGCAACAGAGCGAGACTCTGTCTCAAAAAAATAAAATTAAATTAAAATTAAAATTTTCTTGTAGAGACAGGATAGCTCTTTGTCGCTCAGGCTGGTCTTGAGCTCCTGGTCTCAAGTAGTTCCCCCTCCCTTAGCTCCCCAAAGCACTGGGATTACCGCCATGAGCCACCACGCCTAGCCTAAACGTAGTTTTTAAATTGGTGAATTAATTTCCACTGTCTTCTAAAATTTTCTGTAGATTTGCCTTAAATATTTCCAGCATTAGGCATTTAATATTTTATAATGATAATAGATCATCCAACAAAAATAAATAAGATGCTGTCAAGTACCAAGTTTTCTTCTGCTCCTGCAGCTGCCTCAGCCTCCCAGCGCACAGCCTGAGAGCACACCCAGACAGCCCTGAGCAGTACTGAGTGCACTCAGGGTGCCCTCTAATTACAGCTTTGGACAAGGCCAGCCCTCATTCTACTAACCACTTGTGGCGGGTCAGTTGATGGCCGAGGCTCCATGATAGCTGTCTGGTTTACATCCAGATGAGTCTTTTCTCGGATGCTTGCCCAAGAAAATATTTGGTTGGGATGCTGAGAGGAAGAGGCACCTCTCTCAGTGTTTCTTTCCTTGCTCAGAAATTTGATTCTTTCTCAGAAATCCCTGAGTGGACTACTAGGGTCACTGTCAAGATGCCTACTGAAGAATCTGCCAGTGCCAGCCCACTGAGTCTCAGAGCAGTGGTTGGAGCAGACCTACCTGATTGACACATGCCCCAGGCAGACCTGCTTACAGCATCTGAGCACCTGACCTCATGCCGAACACCTGTGAAATCCTCAACAAATGTTTGTGTAGTAAATGAATTTTTTTTAAATGTGAATGGGTTTTAAGCCTAGTACAGTGGTCTCATAGCCCATGAATAGCTTGGTTTTTGTTTTTGTTTGGTTTTTGAGACAGGGTCTCACTTTGTCACCCAGGCTGGAGTGCAGTGGTGAAATCTTGGCTCATTACAGCCTTGACCTCTGAGGTTCGGGTGATCCTCCCACCACAGCCTCCCAGGTAGCTGGGACTATGGGACAGGCGTGCACCAACATGCTCGGCTAATTTTTGTAGAGATGGGGTTTTGCCATGTTCCACAGGCTGGTCTCTAATTCCTGAGCTCAAGCCATCCGCCCTCCTCAGCCTCCCAAAGTGCTGGGATTACAGGCGTGAGCCACCGCACCTAGCCATGAATAACTTTTAAAAGAACACATTGACAGAGTACTTGAAAAGATGCTCAACATCACCAACCTTTAGGGAACTGCAAATAAAACTACAGTGATATACAACTTTACACCCATTAGGATGGCTGCTGTTAGAAAAGCTTTGTTTAAAAAGTAAAAGATACCTAAATGCCCAACAAAAGGGAATTGACTAGATAGACTGTAGTATACTCATATTTTGGAATGCAGTCTGTCGTTAATAATCTTTGCAAAGAGTAATGCCTTTGAAAATGTTCAAACTGACCATATGACCTTATTTCTGGAAGAAAAAGGGGAACTGTTTCTAAGTTAAAAATAGACACATAATTGGTTATCTCTGGGTGGTGGAGGAATGGGTGAGTTCTTTGTTTTGTTTTTACTCATCCATATTTTCTGAATCCATAATCAACACACACTATATGATAAAAAGAAAATGATTTTTTAACTTTGTGCATGTACTTGGGAGCCAGTGATGGATCATCCACCATAATGTTTATTCAGAACACTACTTGCTTATTTTCACCTCTCACTTCTCATCCACAGCATATGCCAGGTAGCTGATGGCCCTGGTCGTCGGGATGAGGTAGTGGATACCTGTGCCACCATGCCCGAGTTTCCACGGTGATAACATCAGCTTTCTAACCAAAATTCTATTTTGTCTTTTTTCAACAAGGTGGATCCAACCGAAGAGAAAGGGGTGCTCCACCACTCCCTCCCATCCCGAGGTGATCTTTGCCTGCTCTCCTCTACCCGAGCTCAAGAGCTGCTTCTGTTGCTATCGAAGAACTGCACACCCTCCTCCGCGCTTCTTCCCTTGTGCCCCTCTTATGGGTAGGAAGAAAGGTGGGAGGGTAAGTGGGAATATGTGTGTGTGGGGTGGGAATTGGTAAGAAATGCACCTAGCTTTTCATATTGTGTTTATTCTCCAGTCTATTGCTTGCTTCAGCTGTAGCCGGCCTGTGCTGGCTGCCTGGGTCGATGGGCTTTTGTGGAAATAGGCAGAGATGAATTGCATCTCTGCTTTCGACCAACCAAATTCAGACATTCACTGCTTATTTGCTACAGACTGTAATTATTAAAGTCCCTGAGAGCTGTTTTCTCCTTTCCTTTTTCGCATGCTTGGCCTCCTATGTCCATGAACCACAAACCACCTAAGCAAGTTGCTGAGTTTCACAGGAAACTTTTGCAGTCACAGGATGTCCAACCTTCAGCAGTCTGAGCTCGGCTCTAGGACAGAGCTGTCCAATAGAAATATAATGTGAGCCCCAGATGCAATTTTTAAATTTCTAGTATATTTTAAACAAGTGAAGTTAATATTTTATTTAACCCTAGACATCCAAAATATTTCAACCTGTAATCAACATAAAAATTTTAATGAGATATTTTATATTCTTTCTTGGTACTAAATCTTCAAAATCCAGAGTATATTTTATACTTACAGCACATCTCCATTCAGACTAGTCACATTTTTAAGTGCTCAGTAGCCACATGTGGCTGGTGGCTACCGTATTAGCACGAGTCTGGAAGATGGAAGCTAGTGCAGAAACCTCTTGTTTCAAAAACAAAAAAAGGCAAGATGAGCTTGAGCGATTCAAGAGGCAACTAAAAATAAAATTAGGACCCAGCGCCTTGTTTTTAACAGACAGTTCGACCTTCGATTTTGCTCCCTTATTTTCTCTCTTCCCTTAATATCTGTATACAAGTGTTGCTTCACGGTACCAAGGTCAAAACTGATGGAGTACGGTTTACTGAGGTCATGTGGAATAAAGCCATTGGAAAGAAACAGAAAGCCTGTCAGGGCTTCTGGGCTCAGAACCAGCTGGCCCCACACGCTCACTTGTCAGTTGGACTTGTGCCTTGTGAATTGGAAGCAGCTTTTGTTCCTCTCCGGCTGAGCAAGCTCCTGAGGCTAGGAGAGACTAGGAAGGTTTGGTAGGAGGGGAAGAAAGTCAGGGAAAGGTATCAAATCAGAAACATGGAAGAGGGAACAGATTTGAGTTGGTGGGCAAAACTCTAAAAATCTAAATCTGATGCTTACGTAAGGGTGGAGCAAATTAGGGAGATTGCTAGTGGAATTCCTGGTAGAAATTGGAGGGAATCTGTTTTGCATTATTTGTCTAGGATCTATGCAAGTACATCTCCACTAAAGGACCATAGGGAAGGGCCAGCCTTGCCTTTTTTTTATATGATTTTGTTTACACTTTTTCTGAGATTTTAAATCTAGCTATAGAGTAGGGGAAAAAATATTTCCACTTAGATATTTTATATGGTTATGTTTAAAATTACCATTACTTGTTTTTTAAAAACACATGACCACATATGTATATGTATATCTACCTAAACATTGTATCATGGTTTCAGTGTGTTATTCATGTATTACTGGGAGATGCTAACAAGAAACCAACCCAAAGAAAATCCTGAAAGATGCATTTCTATTTATAAAATAAATGTTTCATTTATATAAAAGAAAAAGAACTTAAGAGTTCTAATAAATGGGATGTCTAATAAATTATGAAGTTACTGATTTGAATATATTATATTTTTATAACTTCCTGGCCAAAGTCCTAGATTTAGTACATTAGAGAATGTGTTTCCTCTCTCCTTTACCATTCATCTGTCTTCCATATAGTCATTTGGACTTTTTACTCAAAGAGAGTCAAGAAATAGTAAGGTGTAACAAGCTTGGCCAAGTGTTGGTTTAAAAAAAATTTTTAATCTCTAGCATTTTGGTAATTTAGCAGCATCATTTATTTGCAATTCTTTGATCTGATTTCAACAGTGAAAAACATCCTTATGATAAAGCCAAATGACCCACTTCACAATAGATGGAGTTTTCCCTTCCTAGAAAATATGGCAAAGAAAAGTCTGACCCAAAGAAAGTGGGTCTGAATTTTATAAGTGGTAGTAAGAATTGGACAATTCCTTTATATATCTCAACTTTGCCGGTACCATTCTAAATCTGAAACAGAGTCAGAGCCCAAAGTTGCCATTCGTCTGGAATAAAGATGTTTTAGTCTGTATTTTTTAAGTGAATGTTTCTTTAATACACCTACACCCTTTCTTTTAAAGTTTGCAACCTAATTGCATCTAAAACTTTGAATAAGTTCTGTGGTAAAATCTTAAACTATGGAAAATCACAAAAATGAATATTTTCTTCCCTGAAATCAGAGCTTACATGTGTGTTTTTTCCATAAAATTTCCAGATAAATGTATTCAATATGTAATACGGTATTTTAACATTCACCTATTATTTTATATTGAAATGTATTGCAGTATTAAAACTCAGTGTTCAGTATTTATTTCACTATGCATTTTATTTAGTAAAAGCCAAGAAAAATGTTTAATAATCCAATGGTGCCTTACTTTGTGATTTAAAAGAAATCAAGTTTTTTTATGTCTAAGTAGCAGATTGTTTGCATATTTGTAAAAACTGTTAGGTCTTTATATTTTAAATTGTAATACAAGTTTTGTTTATTTTAGTAGCAGAAATGGGATGATTGTTAAAGTTCCCAAAAAAATGTTGGCATGAAATTAATTTTTCCCTCCATATAGTCAAAAACTCTAGAGGAAGAAAAAAAAATTTTCATACCATGCACTATGTAAACAGACACATTTTGGTATCTGTGTCATCAGGATAATGTAAATGGTAGCATAGAGACTACCCTAGACATCTGGATCTTTGTAAGTTAGCCAGACAATAAATAAAAGCAGAATGATATGGTGTCAACTGGTGGTTTTTCTTTTAAATACTGTTTATGTAAATATAAACCAAAAAAAAAAAAAACCACAAGTATCTGTTTTCTGTTTTATACTGTGGAAAAGAAAGACAAAAAAAAAAAAAAAAGGTTTGTATGAGTAAGTAAATATTCATTGCCCCTACTTGCTAATCCCATCTTTTCTGAGAATCTGCATCTTAGTCAAAATCTATTTATTTGAGGTAGATGTTTCCACTTAGGAGGTAAAGATGGATGGTAGAAGCGAAGGAAGATGAAACTACAAAGACTGGCATGGTTACTGATAAATACAGGAAAGGCCAATGGGAATTTAGGAGCCTGATAATAATGTTCTTAACTATCTGCTGTGTGTGTATATACAGATCTCAATATAGAAGAATGGTTAAGAGCCTAGGAAGACCTGTCTCCATGTCTTACTTGCAAGTTACTTCATTAAACCTGTTTCCTTACCTATAAGGTAAGGAACTATCTTATAGCATTAATATATGCATTAAATGAGATAATGTACTCAATATTTAGCCTTAGTGTAAGCACACAATAGGGAGTAGCCACTATTAGTGTGAGATAGGAAACAAATATTTATATAATGATCCTAAATTAATTGGAGCCAAATCCACTAGAAGGGAATTTACTAGTATACTTTTAAAGGAAAGGAGCTCTAGCTCCTAGATTGAAAAAATATCCATATCAGAAATGCAAAGCAACCTCTACACAAGGGTCACCTCACCTACTGTCCTCCCTGTACCCCCAGGTCTGGAAAATGAAATTTTACAGTGCTTCAGTCATCAAAGAAGTATTATTAGGTTCAATGTGAAATAACAGAAATTAAGAGCCCAAAAGAACCTCACAGATAGGGCAACCTTAGAATGTATGATCCATAATGGAACATTTTTGAGAGTGGAAGGGGTGCTAACAGTTGCAGTGGCACAACAGGTATAAGTCTGGATTGCCTTGGAAGATTGGGCCATGTGATCACCCCACTCAGAGGTCATCCAGTCTAACCATCTGTGCTCACAGCTGGGTAATTTAAGGCCCCAAATGATGCACTGATGATGGACAAGCAGTGCGACTTCTCACTGTGCTGTCCCATCTTCATAGTCCTTACTGCCTCTCTCTGTCACTGTTTCATGTGTCTTTCACATTGGCTGGAAGGAAAAGGCCAAGTGAGAGTTTACAGTGTCAGAGCAAACGCCGTGCACTCACAAACCTGTATTTGGATTCTGGCTCTGCCACTTGCTCCCTGTGAGGCCATAGACAAGTTATTTCAGTCCTCTGAGTTCTAGCTTCCTTGACTACAAAATGGCTACAAAGCTTAAATAATACACACCCAGAAGCTTTGTAGGTGGTTCATTGAAAAAATATATTTTTTAAAATAAGTAAATATGCAAACACGAAACAAGATACCTGGCATATGTTAGGTACTCAGTGAAAATTAATTCCATTTCATTTTTTAATCCTTTTGCCATCAAACCTAGGCCATATTCATGATGGAATTCTCAAACGCAGCCAAAGAAGTCTTAACAAAATGCAGTTACAGAATCTTTAGAAATAAAAATTGCTTTCAAGTCTGGCCTCATTGGTTCAAAGAGGAACTATTTATTTGATTCACCCATTCAATAAATTTTTATCGAGCCCTTACTGTTAACCAGCTTCACCACAAATGACCTATTCATAACTGGATCCCCACCACGACTGTAGTGGTCAAGTGATTTCTGAGTGGCAGTTAGGGAGGCCAGCACCCATTCCAGACAGGCATGGACACAACTTCAGCCACCTGTGCCACAGAGGGCTTGCTACTAGGGGTGAGGGCACGTATTTCATATGTTCTTACCCCCTTAAGTAATTTATTTGCTTCCTTTTTTTCTAATCTCAATGTCACGGTAAATAACACTAGTTTTTTAAAAGTTGTTAAACCTACAGGAAACTTGAAAAAAAAAACAATATTTGGAAAGATTTTGAGGACCAATAAGTTACATCTTTTGTGTTCAGATTAATTTGAAAGGTAAATTCAAGGATTCCAAGTTCCCTAAACATTCCAACTAATTGAAGGCTCCCTGGGCACCTAATAGTCTCCGGTTCCCTTCTCCCTTGTCTTCCCCACAGCCTCACTTCCCTCCAGCCTGAACACATGGCATTTAATGTCTATGTCTGGACTTACATTTAGCATGTATGTGTTTCTCTTACTGATAAATGTTTAGAAATGTCCCATCCATCAACATTATAGCACAAATACCTTTGTCTTAAAATATGGCTTCCATTATTATAGAGGTACACTTACAGGAAGCTAATTCAGCTCAAGCTTTGGGATTCCCCACTTGCAAGGGGGGTTGGCTTCTGTTTTATTATTTTTTTTATTTTAGAGGGTCTCACTGTCTCACCGAGGCTGGAGTACAATGGCATGATCACAGTTCACACTGCAGCCTCAGATTCCTGAGCTCAAGCAATCTTCCTGCCTCAGCCTCCTGAGTCACTGTGACTGACTACAAGTGCACAACCATGCCTGGCTAATTTTAAATTTTTTTTTTTTTATAAAGAGGAGTGATCTCACCATATTGCACAGGCTAGTCTCAAATTCCTGGCCTCAGCGTCTCCCACCTCAGCCTCCTAAAGTGCAAGGATTACAGGTGTGAGACACTGTGCCTGGCTGGGGCTTCTAGTTAAGTACTCATTTTCATATCTGGTTTTTTATTTGTGATTTTATATTATTTTTCTTAAATAGGACACATTATATTGTCTAAAGCTTCAGACCTCACAAAACCTGGACCTGCCCTGGCAATCTGCCTTGCTCAGCTTCTGGTGGAGAACTCAACCAAAGTGAATGTCTTAAAAACATTAAGCCATCAGCTTCCCGTGAGTGACAGATATAAGACAGCCAAAGTGTTTGCCTCCTTTGTCCTCCCTGAATGACTAAATGTCTCTAAAATAACGTGGTCATTGCATTGCCCACATTGCATTAGAGTCAAAAGCCCCAGAACGTGCCCTATCTAGGAAAATAATTTGAACTTTGAGGTACCTAGAAAACAAGCCCAGCTGTTATTAGACGTTGAGCTCAAATTCAGCTTAAGTTTTGGCCAGGAAGATGCTTGCCAGAACACCTGGAATATCCATCATGGACTTAACATAAATACATTTTAGTCATAGGGGTTCCCACCCTTTTCCTGTTTTCTGTCTGCCTTGGTAAGTTAAAGGTCACCCATCAAAATGCTATCTATTTCAGATCAGTTTCAAAAACAAATAGCAGCAAATAATTGGGAAAACCTACATGATTTAATGTATTATGTATACTCTGATATTTATTTGTACACTTACTTATTCAAATCATCAACAAACAGTGGTTGAGGAACTACAGTTTATTAGGCACTAGCAATATAAAGACATACATGATACAACAGGAAGTTTTTAAGTACTAGTCCCAGAACCAAGTATGAGATTAAATTCTAGATCTAACAGAAACTTCAGCCAGTATGTACAACCCAACCCCATCCTACCACTGGTTCTGGAATGCTCTTCACCATGGACGTAGGGCTGTTTGGTTAGCTGTGTGCACGCAAGGAAAATTCCTGCTTATGCTTGCTCCTTTGAGATTTACTCTTGGAGCAAAAGCATGGACAGTCCCAAAGGAGGCCACCATGGGGAAAATGAAAAACATGTAACACAATAATGAAAACAGTAATTGTATACCATCAAGACACGCTACCATGGCCAGGCACAGTGGCTCCCACCTGTACTCCCAAGACTTTGGGAGGCTGAGGTGGGACGATTGCTTGAACTCAGGAATTCACGACCAGCCTGGACAACATAGCCAGAACCTGTCTCAAATATATTTTTTAAATTAGCTGGGCATAATGGCATGTGCCGGTAGTCCTAGCTACTCCGGGGGCTGAAGCAGGAGGATCACTTGAGTCCACGAGTTGGAGGTTGCAATGAGTTATGATTCTGCCACTGCACTCCAGCCTGGGTGCCTGAGACCCCATCTCTTAAAACAATAAAAAATTTTTAAAAAGAAGACATTCTGCCTAATTTATATATCTAAATAACAACGCATATATGGTCTTTCTTTTTCATATAACCAGCATCAATTATTGATTCCCAACTATGTACTTTACAATTTGAGCTAGGCCCTTTACAAATATTATTGCCAATCTTTGTGTCTTTACACATAGAGAAATCAAAGCCTGAGTGGATTAGAAATTTGCATCAAGCCACTTGCCTGGAGCTGATTGAGAATTCAAACTCAAAGCTCCCGGATCGAATTTGAATGAGGAGTCAGATCATTGTCAACTTTTCATTTGTCAGTTTAAAAAAATACCGACATTTCATATCAGTAAGAACCTTTTCATGAGCCAAGACAATGGAAGACCTCATTTGAGAATGAGATAGTTGACTCAACTGAGTAAACATAGCATCGTGGGAAGCTCCATTGTCCTCACTTTCCTCATTGGGCTGGGGACTGGCTCTGCATTTTCCCCCTGGGGCACACTGCTTCTTGGATGTCATCTAACTTCTTTTGGTTCTTTGCAGTTTAGGGGGTGGTTATAATCCCTCCCTTGAAGTTTACATAAATTTGCTTTTCAGTCCATCTTACCAGATACCTGCTACCTTTTAGGTGATCTCAAAGGAGCCAATAAAATTCAGATGTCATTTCTTTAAGCAGTTATAGGTTTCGGGAAATTCAGAATCGAACTGCCGTGTGCCTAGTTAATTTGCTTTCCTGTGAATCTCTATTCCTTTGTACTGTTCATTATTTATAGGATATTTCTACCATTCCCATCATAAATGTGTAGTATTGAATTTCTTTTTCACTCTCCTTGGAGCTGGAAAAGTCATGTGGCTCTTTTAAATACCAAATAATAGGATTTGCTTTTCGGTAAGAGCCGGAAGTAAACCTTTTGTTCTTTGCCTCAGTCATACTACTTAACACTCAGTAGAGCAAAAAGAGTCATATTCAACAAAATTGACAAAAAGTGGCTCCACGGTTTTCAGGCATTTTTAC